CTGCGCAAACTGTTGACGCCATATAAATCCTGAATAATAATAATAATGTAACATTCTCTGATACTCGAAGAACATTCAGTCCCTGGGGAAAATAGCCTAAGAACATTCACCCCGAAGAGAACATACCTAAGAACATTTGATTTTTTCCTCATTCACACAAAAGCCATATACACTGTGTGAAAAATCCTTAAAATGAATGCGCGAATGCACCCCTTCGGTGTAACAAAGGATGAAAAAAGAAACATGGTATGACACATAGTGCTTGGGCAAAAAAAAATGGCATCCAGTTGGAGTTTACATCTAGTTCATGGGTAGACAACCTCGGCACTCCAGTTGCAGTAAACTACAAATTCCACCATGCCTCTGACTCTGGCAGTCATGCCTGTGGCTGTTGAGTCTTGCAATGCCTCATGGGACTTCTAGCTCTACAACAGCTGGAGTGCCGAGTGTGGCCACCCTTGGTTTATTTAATCAACCTGAAAAGTTTATTTAAAACGACATGGGGGGCAATGCTGAGATACTGATATCCCCCCCGCCCCCTGGCAATGCAATGTGGGGCCTTGGTAACCTACTGGGAGACGCCCTCATTGAATTTTGAGATGCATTGTGCTTAGGCAGTGGGGAGCAGCTTTATTACAGCTGCGTCGAGTTTGGTAGAGACATCGAGATCTGCTGGAGCCCAATTTGATTTCACAGCTCGGTCTTGTTTCTGAGGAACTGTGACAGGTCAGCTTTAACAGAGAGCTTCACCCGCCACGGTCGTCTTCACCATAACCTCATTCCTTCCATCGCAGAGAGCTGCTCTTTCTCCGGTTATATAAAAATAATCAGGTTGCATTGCAATGAACTTTCTTCCACTTGAACGGCTGCCAAAGATCATACTCGGGTCTTAAATCTGATCATGAATCAATTGTAGCCGGCCCACTAATTTGCCGTAACTTTATAACATAATTGCTTTACTGTTCACTGGGGGTATAACACGATGGTGACTCGAATATTTTAAAGGTTAAAATGTTCGTAGAGTTACAAAAACGAGCGAGCGTGGTTGGAAAAGATGTACGCAGCCGAGCAGGGCTGAACTTCTTACGGCGGGGTCACCGTAATACGTTCACAAAGGGACATTGGTTGGGTAGATCAAGTCTAGAAGCAAATTTAAAGGAAACCTCAGCTAAACAAATTTGACCTAACATGGCATATTACTGAAGGTGGCCATACACTGGTCAAATTACGGCCGAGTTCTGCTGACTTTAACCAGTGTGTGGCCCTGTTGGGACAGCGGGTTCACAATCAAATTTAAAGGGAACCTCAGCTAAAAACTATTTGGCCTCACATGGCATATTTCTTTAGCTGGGCATACACTGGTCGAATCACGGCTGAGTCCTGCTGACTTTGACCAGTGTGTGGCCCCATTGGGACAACATCGACATGTTGTTCCAAAGGGCCCCCCACCAGGCTATTGCATTCTGACAGTGGTGGGTGTGCCGCTTTCAAAATACCCTAAAGGTGCCCATACACTGCTCGATTCTCGTACGAGAATCGTGGGAAATCCCGCGATCCTACGAGAATCGAGCAGTGTGAACGAAGACGTGCGACCGTTTCTACTGTACGGTCGCACGTCTTTTCGGCTGGTTTGAACGGTGCTCGGGAGACAAATGCCGAACGGGCCAGTGTGCGCACGCGCACACTGCCTGTTCAGCATTGCGGTCATCGGAAGCCCACCCCTCAGGGGGGCGGGCTTGCGATGATCGAGAGTACGATCTGCCTGCCTGTTTTTTAAATTACTTTACAACCATCGCAAGACTAAGGTCTTGCGATGGTTGTAAAGTGTATGGCCACCTTAACAGGGACTGCAGCTGAGTCCTGCTGACTTTGACCAGTGTGTGGGAAACAGGTTTACAATCAAACTTAAAAGAAACCTCAGCTAAAAACGAATTGGCCTAACATGGCATATTTCTCATGCTGGCCATACACTGGTTGAATTTCGGCCGAGTCCTGCTGACTTTGACCGTAGTAATTGGACACAGTCACAATGGGAGAGGGCTATGATTTGCAAAGAAGAGGGGGCCGAGCTGTAATTTAAATCTTGCTTGAGTAGCCAAATTTTCAACAAAGTTCAAAGATGCAAGTCAATATGGAAGGATAAAACACTGCAAGTAAGCATTTAACCACTTCAAGACCAGGTGTTTAGACCCCCTTCCTGGCCAGGCCATTTTTCAGTATTCAGCGCTGCGATACTTTGACTGACGTTTAATTTTTTGGTTTTTTTTAATTCTTTTTTATGTGTAACTTTACATTTTTTTTGGGTGGGGGACTTAATTTTTTTTTTCCTTTTCACTAAACTTTATTGCTATCACATACGGGGGCTAATAAATTGTAAGGTTCCAGCATATCCTCTCCTGGTATAACATTGGCAGTGTAATAGGAACACATACTAGTTGTTTCTGATAATACAATCAAAGCTTACTTGAAGAATCCCTTTTATGTAGTGAGCGCCGCCTTCCGTCTGCCCATCACTTCCAACAACTTCCTGGACTCCCAGTGTGCTTTGCGTCTCTTTCCCTGCTGCTTGATGTGATGCAATCTCCATTTCTCAAGACTACATCTCCCATCATGCATTGCTTCCGACAAGCAATGATAATGTCACACTGTGAGAAGTTCAGACTTTGAGTTGTACTACAGAAAGCAGGCTCCGGGATAGTGTTGACACAAGGAAGTGCCAGTTCACAAGGCTGAGTGATATTGTGTCAGTGCATTGAGGAAGGTCATCCTATGGGCATCTTTAGTAAGTAAGTTTACAGACTTCTAGATGGTTATTAGCAATGGGACAGACCTTATGAAAATTCAATATAGCAGCAAACATTGATTTGGCTGCCCGAAGGTCCCTTTAGATAAGCAGCAGTGTTGTTTTATTACCGTGTTTCCCCGAAAATAAGACAGTGTCTTATTTATTTTTTTTGCACGAAAAAAGACACTAGGTCTTATTTTCGGGGAATGTCTTACTTGGCTGGGGGAGGACTGGACGAGGTCCCGGAAGGCGGCGTGCTGTTGCCGGTGTCGGCGGATGATATGCCGCTTCCATCGGGCATGCGGGCAGGGGGGCGTGTGGGCGGGAGCTGCGGCTGGCGTGTGGGTGGGGCGGGAGCTGCAGCCGGCTGG